AAAATATATTTAACTCAATATACTCATAAAATGAATGACTCGACTAATCTATTTTGTATCCAAAATTAAAATCCAACTAAAATAAGAAAATATAATTTATTATAATAATAATAAGAACAATATATTTAATTTTCTACATATAAATTAGAGGTTGATTCAAAGCATATTAAAAATAAAAAGAAAATATTAACCAATTACAGTTTAATTCTTTTGTAGAATTTATATATATGCATAAGACTTCAAAATATTATTATTATTATATTTATTTATGTAATTTTGAATCAAACATTTTAGCTTATTATTTATTTCATTTTAAGCACAAGATATATTAAGTTATACATAATTAAACCATAGTATATTTACATATCTAAGAATATATTTACATATCTAAGACAATAACCAACCAAAATGAAAATAAGAAAATTAAACAGAGTTTTATTATATTTAGAATAAAAAACATTATAGTTGAACTCGAAAAATATATATTATTGGAATATATCAAATTGATAACCAAACCGACTATTGATTCAAAAAATAATTAAATCGACAATATCATATCCAAAATCATATGTATAATTAGAATAATATACTATTTATTAATATAAATTATACATATAAATTGATTCAAAAGTAAAACTAAATATCAATCAATTCTTATAAAAATTTACTTTTATGAATATACATACCCGTGCATGAGCACGGGAAAATCACCTAGTGTTAGGTAATAAGATGTGTATGATAAGGTAAAAGAAAAAAAAACAATTATGATATTTGATGGTATACCATTCTAACTTGGATGATAATCAACAACTATAAAGAATATAAGTGCTTCCAACTAATTTTTATTACAGATATTATTATAGCAGCCTCCTTGGGAAAAAGACTCCAATATGTATATTGCGGTGAAATTTCTCCAACTTATAATAATATAATTATGTTTTAAATAGGTAAAAGTGTTACCACCATATCACGCCCAATTTATAATAGACACATCTGGTAATGCACGTGACATTTTGTATTTTTCAAAATCAATATTCACATTAGTGATTAACAAGAATGACCGTATGTTAGTGGTTAGGGCACTTAATTAAGTGGTTCTGCACTAATATGTTTTGTTTTTCCAACTTACCAAGAATATTTTGGTCACTCTCCCCATTATGTATACGTAGCCATCACTTCCATTACATGTACTTTGAACTAACTGATCAGATTCAAAGAAAGAAGACTGAAATTCATATTTGAAGATGTGCAATCCAATAGTTAGTAACTTAGTACTATAGCTCAAACATTAAGATCAGTATTGACTTGTATGGAATATGGATAAAGCACTCAGAAAAACATGCATTATGCATGTCAAAACATTTACCCATCTCCCCTCCTTTCTGAAACTCCAATACATCAGCGTCAGGTCAGTCTTTTCATTGAAACAAACGATGAGCTACTATATAATAAAAACGATTTATATTACATCATATCTATAACTCAATCTTCACTAAAAAAATCTTTGAATTCACTTTCTCTAAACCAAAACTAACCTCTCAACTGAACATTAATATATATATATATATAAATACACCTCTAGATTGTTGAAGTCATATAATTTAGTCTTCGTTCAAAATTTCCATAATTTTAATTTTACATAAGATAACTTATCTGTTTATTATAATGGTAGTTTTGCAACGAAAACTGAAACGCATCGATACGTAACCAGCTACATGAATGTGTAACTTTGTACCTACCATCCAAAGGCATTAACATATCTTCTCACTTAGCTCGTTTTTTTCTCACTTAGCTCGTTTAAGTTGTTTACAATAATACACTCCAGATAGCTTAGGGTTAATTATTTCCAACTTTAATCTAAAATTTGGCCCTTCGCGTGATTAATCTTTTAAATTGAAAATAGTAGACTCACCAATAAGATGTAACCACTAGACTTTCGTACGACCCTCAATTATAATAAAATCCCATTATCAACAAAAAATAATAAAATCAACAATCTATTGTGTGCTATATATAGCGCATGCATCATTCTTCTGCAAGTGCAAATATCTCAAGTTCTTACCACAAATTTACAGAGAAAGAAACACATCGAAAATGCAAAACATGCAGGGGTTTCTTCGCTTCCTTGTAGTTAAAGTCATCTTATTGGCTTTAGCATCTTCATTTGTATCTTGTTACGACCCAAGTCCTCTTCAAGACTTCTGCGTTGCCGTTGATGACGTTAATGGCGGTAATCTATCTACTATAATACCTTATAGATTCTTAACATCGTACTAATTAAATACGATATAACATTACTCTCTATATACTAATTAAAATAATTAACTAAAAATGAAGTGATGGCAGTACTAATAAATTATACTATATATCATCAGTAACCAACGAATACATAACATCAATATTACGATAATTAATTATTTTCTTCTTTTATTCTTAGTTTTTGTGAATGGAAAATTCTGCAAAGACCCAAAATACGTGAAGGCCGAGGATTTTTTTACTTCCGGACTAAACATAGCTGGAAACACCATAAACCGTGTCGGCTCCAACGTTACCAACGTCAACGTGGACAAGATCCCTGGACTCAACACTCTCGGAGTTTCTCTTGTCCGTATTGACTTTGCCCCGGGAGGTCAAAACCCGCCACATACGCACCCACGAGCCACGGAGATCCTCGTCCTTGTTGAAGGAACACTCTTAGTAGGGTTTGTATCATCGAACCAAGACAACAACAGATTGTTCTCGAAGGTTCTTTACCCTGGAGACGTGTTTGTGTTTCCCATTGGGATGATACATTTTCAAGTGAACGTTGGGAGGACTAACGCGGTTGCGTTTGCTGGTCTAGGAAGCCAGAACCCCGGTACAATCACAATCGCGGACGCTGTTTTTGGTTCGAAGCCTTTGATTATGCCGGAGATTTTGGCTAAAGCGTTTCAGCTGGATGTCAACGTGGTTAGGTATCTCGAAGCAAGGTTTTCTTCTAACTATGGTGGTCATTATTAATAAGTTTAAAGAAATTGAAGGGGATAATGTATTGAAAAATATGAACAAACGGTAATGATGATGTGGTTGTAATATAGTGTGTGAAAGCTAAAAAATAATAAGACGGTGAAGATGTTTTATTTATATGCAGCTTGATTCTCAAAGAGTGTAAAATAATAAGTTTTATCGTTTCCATTATTATGTGAATACACACAGCATGGTCATATCAACATCAATGTAGCCAAAGGCTCAAACCAGAAGAAATAGAGATTGGGCTAGTCCAGCCCAGGCCCATCATTATCTTTTAAGTTTCATGTTAGCTCTACGTTTTGTTTTTTTTTTTTGTCAAACTACTACTTGCATTAAAAGGGGACTAGAGTTCAGCTCTACGTTTAACTATCATCCTTAAACATGAATTAATTGTAGAGAAGATTGTGAACTGATGATTGTTCGTTGACAACAACAAAACATGTGAATTAATTGTTGGGTTTTTTTTTTTTGGGGTCAAAAATTAATTGTTGGTTGATAAGAAGCAAGATAGGTGTGATGATGAGTGATGACCTACTATGACTTCTTTAATTGTACAATTTTTCTTGTGTAGAGTTAGTTGTAACTTTTATCCCAAAATTACTAGTACTTCATTTATAAAACTTACTACTGTTTCCTATTGAGTAATCTTAATTGTTGTTATTTTTGTTAGAAACATTACTCTGTAAATAAAGCTCATTCAGTGAAACTTTTTATAAATTAATAATTTTGGGACTACATAAAAATTATAATTTTTTTATTAATTTATAAAAATTATTAATTTATCGATATATTAATTAAAGCAAAATTTTAATTTAAAATTATAAAATTATATTATTTTATAGAAATTTTGTATATTAATTTACATGAGTATTAGTTTTATGGATCATTGAATTATGGTGGAAGGGAATAAGATTATTCCAAAAAGATTTGCTTAACAAAAACATTAACTATTCTCTATGGTTTAAACATCCCAGGCTGTATAGTTTGTATTGGTTTCCACCTCTTTAACTTATTTTTTAAGAATAACTAAACATTCCTTAATCTCTCCGCGTTTTCTTCTTCTTCTTCTTCTTCCCGTCGACTGCTTTATTCCACTGAAACAAATTTTGAAATTTGCACAAACATCCTCCAAGTTTCCTCCTTTCCTCTTCCCGATCAGGTATAGCGTAAAACCCAGATCACAAAAATCCGAGAAAAGCTAAACTAACGTAGATCTCAAAGTTTTGATCTTTGTCCTTAATCCCTCTCTTTTTCGCTTTCTAATTGCGTCTACGCTTCTCTTAAAGGTACCCTCTTCGTTTGATTGCGTTTCAATCACTCTCAGATTCATCAACAACCCACCCACTTGCTGAAACCTGATCAAAGTCTAAATCTTTGTGAATTTTAGGGGTTTTAAAGCTCTGATTTTTATCACCCGGAGAGAGGAGAATCTAAAGGCAATTTCAGATCTTTTGTTAGCTTTTCTTTTCCAGGTTTAGGGCTATTTCCTCCTTCTTTGTATTTGCCTTGTTTGAAGTTTGGTTTAGTAAAGTGTGTCTCTTTTTTTTTTTTTTTTGCAGAATGGCGGCGGATATGCTACCTGTTTACCTAATTATAGTGGCGTTTCTATGCACTTGTGGAGCCGTTGCTTTGGCCTTGTTCCATATCTACAAGCACCTATTGAACTACACTGAACCCATTTATCAGAGATATATTGTTCGCATTGTCTTCATGGTCCCTGTCTATGCATTGATGTCTTTCTTGGCTCTTGTGTTGCCTAAAAGCTCCATCTATTTTAACTCTATCCGAGAAGTGTGAGTGCTTTTGATTCATTTTTGCTAGCTTACCATGGGACGTTGTTTCTCCACTTTACTATATTATGTTATCATTTGACCCTTGAGAGTATTATGACGAAGCCTTTAGAGATCAGATTTTTTATGCGTTGGTTTTTAAAAAAAAGCAGACCTGATGGTTTATGTTCCTAAGTGTTTTGTGATTGTTTATTTCTGTCTGTGGCAGTTACGAAGCGTGGGTGATTTATAACTTTCTTTCGTTGTGCTTGGCTTGGGTTGGAGGCCCAGGTTCAGTTGTTATAAGTTTAACTGGCCGCTCTTTGAAGCCTTCATGGCATCTCATGACTTGTTGCTTCCCACCACTACCACTAGACGGGTTAGTTTGCAGAATGAAACAAAACTCTCTCTACTTATATTGGTCGTATTTGCATTTTTCTCTGAGTGTTTCAATCATTTGGTTGCATGCACTAATTGGTTCATAAGAAGCAGTGTTTTTTTGTAGTCCAGATATCTTAGCATCATGATGATTTATGTTGAATCTCATTTATAATTTCTATGACCATCTTCTAAGCTAATAGTGTTAGATTACTTATACTTGGTTATTCGTATAATGTGTTAGGCGTTTTATTCGACGGTGCAAGCAAGGTTGTCTGCAGTTTGTAATTCTAAAGCCAATCCTAGTTGCTGTCACACTTGTGCTCTATGCAAAAGGGAAATACAAGGATGGAAATTTTAACCCTAATCAATCCTATCTCTATCTTACCATCATCTACACCATATCATATACAGTAGCTTTGTATGCGTTGGTCCTCTTTTATGTGGCTTGCAAAGACCTCCTAAAGCCATTCAATCCAGTCCCCAAGTTTGTGATTATTAAATCTGTTGTCTTTCTAACATATTGGCAGGTAATGTCTCTTATTCTCTCGCTATCAATTGCATTTTAACACATTTCTTCTGGTTGTTGAACTTTTTATCTGTGTTACAGGGTGTTCTGGTTTTCCTTTTTGCTAAATCTGGATTTATAAGAGATGAAGAAGAAGCAGCGCTGTTCCAAAATTTTATAATATGTGTGGAGATGCTTATTGCTGCAGCTGCACATTTCTATGCATTTCCTTACAAGGAATATGAAGGTGCCAATGTTGGAGGAGCTCACAGTTTCTCACGAAGTCTAGCACATGCTGTTCAACTAAATGATTTCTACCATGATACTGTTCACCAGGTAAACTGATTATTCGCTGTAAAAACAAAACATCGGAATGGTTAAAAGTAGGCATGCGGGTTTGGTTAGTTCGGGTTATTCGATTTTGTTAGTTCGGTTTGAAATTTTGTTAGTTTTGGTATGGTTTGGGTATACTTTGTGTTGATGAGTTTGTTTTCTTACACAGTTTGCCCCTGCGTATCACGATTATGTGCTCTACAACCATAATGATGGTGGTGAGGAAGGGACGACCAAGTACCGAGTAAGAACATTTGTGCCAACTGGTCAGGAAATGGATGCTGTTAGAAAGAACAAACACATGTTTGGAAACAAGATAGAAGGTGTTTCACCTTCCAGTCACTCTTCCTCGGGAACAAGCACACCGAAAGCTTCAGGTGCAACTTCTGATCCTGCACGCCCTGAGACCATGAAATCTTCTTTGTTGGTTGACTCCTCGGACTCTGCTTCCAGAATGTATGACATGTCGCTCATAGACATTGATATATCGAGCTACCCAAGTAAAGTACCTTCTGCAAATGTAAGTGGAGGAGGACCTAGATAGTGAGGAGGAAGATGATGATGTTAGGATCCACCATTAACAGTAACAAGAGTGTTATTAGATTGAGGAGTCTCTCGAGTTTGTTGTTAAAACGGGAAAATGTTAATTGGAGATGGAGAAATAACTTATTGTTCTGATGAGTGTTCCACTGGTCACAGCTTAGTTCTTGTTTGTTGCTTGGTTCACTATCTTTTGGTTTGTAGATATAAAAATGATTACACAATCTCAAAAGTTGTGAAACATTTGGTGTGCGATTAGAAAGAGTTAGATAATATGTTGGAGCTGTGTGTATTTGAGTTTGGAGCTGTTAGGCCATCTCTTTTTTATGTTTCTTTCATACTTACAAATAATATTATCAACTTTTTTGTTTGTTTGTCATATTGATGCTACCATTATATTAACTCTGCCTTGGACCTATAATGTTTGTTATTTTTAGCATATGCTTATACAAAAACAATTAAGTAAATTTTAAATATTGATACACCTAAGAGCCCCAGCAACTATAAACCAAAAAACATTTTACGTTCAAAATGTCAAATATAATTTTAAGTCATTCCAGTCTTTTGTAATCAATCAACTAATTCTGCAAAGTCGTAATTCAGATTGTTTTAAGTAAATAGTTTGATGAATCTACAAATTTTTATTTCTTTTTGTTTACCAAAAGCAGAACGTGAGCTTTGAACCTTTTTATTGAATTTATACTAGTTGGGAAGTTAGATTAAAGTCCCACCTACATAAGTGTATTTCATTTGACGAGAGACTTTTTTTTATTTAGTTTAAAAAAAAAAAACAGAGACGCCATTAAAAGCAGAGTAGTATAAATACGTCAAAAGTTGTAGAAAAGCCAAAACCAAAAGCCATATATAAAGCAACAACGTGAAGCACTTGAAACGAGCATTGACATACGAAACGTTATCCGTTGTCGGCGTTTCACGACGGCGTTTTCGACTGGCGGCTGAGTGTTTTAGTGTTTACAAGCTAACCAAACTAAAACCTCTCCATCCACCCTTATATTCTCCACACACAAAAAACCCAAAATATAATTTCCTCTTTTCAAGATGAGCAGAAACATCGTCAGCGTTTGGCAGGGAAATAACGGCTACTATGGATATGGCTATGGAGGAGGATACGTGGAGAAGAGACAGCTGTTCCTCAAGAGCAACCAGTTCTCGAGGAAACAGAGCTTAACGGAGAGGATTAAGAGGTCTGTGAGGAGAGTGGTGAAGAAAGTTGTTTGGATGAAGTTGAAATCTGCTCGGAGGATGAAACGCGTCGTTTGGTCGCGTCTCAAAATGGCGTTCTTCTACCGCCGTAGACGTTTCTTTCGTCTCATTCACCCAAACAAACCTTCCTCTTACTGCTTCTACTAAGTCTCTCATTCTCTTGTCTCTTTATGTTCTTTCGTTTTGTGTGTGCATAGTTTGCAGCTTGATCTTTGTTAATTCACTAAATGATCTTGTTATGGATGTTGGATTTGGATAGGATTATAATTGATTTTGTGATAAAATTTTCGATATTTATTAATAGTTCTTGGGAGTTATCAAGATTTTGTTTTAGATTGGGAAGTGACTTTCGGACACGAAAGATCATGCAGACAGGAAGCGTTAAGTCAGCGTCGATTCTGTTTCATGCTCGTGGATATTTTAAATCATTATTAGTCACGTAACGTAAGCGAGTCAGTTTCCCGTTTTCTCGTCTCTTTCCCAACAAGTCAGTGAAACGTTATCGTATACGAGTCCTTGTCTCACCAAATTATTCATTGTTTTTAATAATTACTTATATTGGGCTCATATGGGCTTAATCTGGGTCCATATATGCCATCGGATGTGCCATGGGACCGTTGATAACTGCTGACTTAAACCGGATACATTGTGTGCGGTTGAAACATCTTAGACTATGATCAACCTGAAATTCTTAACAGGTTAACTTCCCGTAATAACCTCAATCCTCATCCTAAGAATTTCGAGTTGATCATGCTTTTAGAAATGAACACTATACCATGATAAATAGACTAGCAACCAAAACTTATTCCTAGTCACAAATCCCAATCATTGTCGATTACGTGTTAAGGAATATTGTTGGACCTTTGATTCTTCTCTGTTATTGCTAATGTCACATTTGTCAGGATTGACTATAATAATTATAGATTCTTAATGAGTTATTCTTCTCAACTACCTCTAGTTTTGTTACAATTCATGAGCTATAAGACTTCCAAATACCAATCATTCGGCATATACCTCCTATACATTCCCTATATTTCTTTTTTTTTTTTTAGCTAAGGTAAAAACATTAAACATCTTTTGAAAAAATATTAATATGTCTGATCTCAACTCCATTTTCAAAATCTTACTCTGCATCAGAATACATTTTTAGTTAATACCAACATCCAATTTTCTTTTATAATTTAATAGTTAAAAATGAATTCAAATTTGGAGAAAAAAATGATAGATGTACGTATTACAAATAAAGATGTATATGCAAGCCAAAAACTGAATCATATAAAAGGAAAGATTTTAAGGTTTTTGAGAACCAAGGCCAAATGATTCTGAAAATTTTGAGCATGAGTTAAGGCAGAGGAAAAACATGACATGATTAGTTCTAAATGCAGCTCATAGTTCGGTCTCTTATCATGATTTAGCTCTATACTCAGCTGGTAGTGTGGCCAATTAATCTACTACGCTGAAAGCAACACAGAAGACCTAGAGATTGCATTCCATTATTTGTTTCAAAATGTTTAAAGATACATAGACTCCAGAGATAGATTATTAGAAGTCTAGTTGAAACTGGTCTCATTGTAATCAATGGGGCAAAAACTATAGGAGTATATACAACAGTTTAAAAAAAAAATTGTACAAGCTTTCTTTGCCTTTGCTTAGTAGTTTACAGTTTTTTTTGTTCATTATTGTATTAATGAGTATGGTCTGAAACCTATGTTCAATTCTTGGGTTGGAATTTTCCCTTAAGATTCTGAATCTCTGATGTTTCAAGGGAGAACGCCTTAGCAAGCAAGTCATCAGGAATCGGAGGGTTAGCACCAAACAAAGACGGGCCAACACTTTGTGTCCCAGGATTCTGACTATCAAAAGCAGCGATCACAGAGGCAGGAGTTTTGTTAGGGTTCTGCTGGAAATGGAGGAGAGCTCTCGGGAATGCAAAGACATCTCCTTTGTTGACGTGTTTGGAGATGAGTTTTCCAGAGGTTGTCAAGAAGCCTACGAAGAGACTTCCTTCGAGGACGAATATGGCTTCAGAAGCTCGAGGGTGAAGATGAGGTGGGTTGAGTCCACCTGGTGCGTAGTCTATTCGAGACATGGATGTACCCATCATGTTGAGGCCAGGGATTTTCTCAACGTTGCCTGCTGTAACGGCTGATCCCATTGAGTTGTTGTTGATGGCTGCAGCATTGGCTAAGCCTATGTAGTAGAAGTCATCTGGTGTTACTTGTGATGGGTCTTTGCATGGGTATCCGTTGACTTTTAAACCTAATAAGAACATGGAAAAAGTCAACGACATATTTTTGAAAGAAGAAGTCAACAACATTATTATATATTAAAGAAAATAAATGTTAGATCAAGAGATAGGGAGAGATGTGATACCTTTGAGATCAGCAACACACAAATCTTGGAGCATGTTTGTTTCTGAGAAGGCTGTGTGGGCGGCCAAAAGCATTATGGTAACAAAAAGATGAGCCATGGAAATTGCCATTAATTGTTCAGTTGTTTTGAGAAATTTTATTGATGAAATTGAAAAAATACTTTGACCTTGTTTCTCAATTTATATACCTATGTTGAGAAGATCTATGGAGAAACCAATGAAGAAGAGATAAACATGGAGGAGCCCATTGGCTTGTTAATTTTTAAAATCATGCCATAATTAGGTTTAGGTGTTCTGATCGTTTGGTTAATATTTTGGTGATTAAAAGTGGATTTGTTTGTTGGAGACATCAATTAGCCTATAGTTATACCATAAAAACACCATCAAACTCTAGTTAGTAATCACCAAACTCGAAATGATTAAAAGAAAAGGACAATGATCTTGTTTATTGGTTCTAGTTCTAGAAAACTCAAGAGGTTTGTTTGGTTCAGTATAATACAAACCGGCCCTTCTGTTTTCTACCAAAAATATAACCAAAACCTTAAATCCGCTAGAGGTAAATCAAAATCGAATATCTCTATCCATGCATTTGCATGATCATAATATGTAATATAGAAATTAGTTGGTGTTGAGTAAGTACAAAGTAGAATAGAATATGGGACTAAATATATTAATAAATTGCAGGAATATTTAACAGACTTGTTCTTCAATAATGTCACAAGTAGAGTCAGTATATAAAATGATGGCTGAATACCAAACTTAGCAAATTCCAAAAAAACTCTATTTTATATATGTAATAAACATGCATCTTAGGCTCTTAGGACGTAAAAATATTGTACTCTCTTTGATTATTCAATTACCAATACTGACCAAAGACGACCTCAACTGCTTCACCATTATTCCTATCTGTCATCTTCTGTCTTCACATGGTTCTAATTATAGCCTTCTTCTCTTCTTTCTCCATCCTCCCAAATCCCATTAATATTCCATTTCTCTTTCTTGGCTTAACCCATCATGGTTGTTAAGGTATACATCAATATCCTAGTACCAATTTTCTCGAATGATTCCATTTATGTTGTGTTTTTTTTTTTTTGAGCAGAAAGTTGAGATCAAGGTGGATATAAACTGTGGGAAATGCAATAGCGCGATTTTGGAAGCAGTCACGGAGATAGAAGGTAATGCGAATCAAACAAACAAGCCTTAGAGTAATATGTTTATTAACACTGTTAAGGTAGATGAGTTTCCAACCTAAAACCAATTGGTGATAAGTAGAGTGGTCCATCTATCTTATATACTAGATAGAATCCGTTCCAACTTCCGATGTGGGACTTTGTCCCTAATAAACATAACTAATACTAAAACATGAGGTTTGATGCAGGTGTGAATCATATTTCACTAGATGAAGAGAAGAGCGTACTTACCGTGGTGGGGACAATGGATCCGGTCTGCGTTGCATCACGTCTTAGGAAGATTAAACAGAAGCCTGTAATCATCAGCGTCGGACCACCACCGAAACCTCCGGAACCGCCAAAGCCTCCTGAGCCAGCAAAGCCTCCAGCAGCTCCTGAGCCAGCAAAGCCTCCTCCACCAGCACCTGAACCACCAAAACCTGTTTGCAAATGCAAGCCTATGATGTCTCCTTACCCACCTCCTTACTGCGCCAGATGCGATCTTGTTTCTGTTACTACCTATGAAAGTGGAAGCGGCTGCACCATTGTTTGAGTCTTGTATTTATTTGCATTAGTCACCACTACTTTTACCATATATATAGTCTTCATGTCAAGTCCTGCAAGCTATATGTTAGCCAGGACTACTTTCTTATATTAGTATGTTCTATTTTGATTATATATGTATCTTTGTTGTTGTTGATCCCTCCTCTGTTTGTAACTAGTAGCACATTTCATGTCTCATAAACACCAAATCTAGATGAATTTTCCATAAGAATGTGAAACATAAATAAGATTCATAGACATTTCCTGATTGTCAAACTGGAGCACATATTGCCTCAGGCCCATTAATATTTTGAGCCCAATTTAGTTTTGAGCAAATCCATAATATCGATAAATTTGAAAGCTAGGGGTTCTTATAGAAAGAAATAGTAGAGTAAGGGACCATAATACAAAAACTAAAAACTGGAAGCAAGTGGGCGCAGGCGTAAGATCAACATGTGGTGATGTGCAATGAGACCAAGAAGACATCAGACAGAGTTTCTCGTTCTCCCACGCATCTTTGTTTTTCTTTCTTATTTTTGTTGCATCTCTTTAATGCGATAACATAAACTAATGTTATAATTTATTATGCATTTTCACTTTTAGGGTAAAACATTTACAAAATTAGTAGCGGTCATGGGTAAATGCATTAGAAATATGTGTTTCTGACCTTTTTAAAATATTTAATTGTATTGGTTAATTTTTTAAAAATATTTAATAACTCAAATGGTTAATATTGTTGTTGGTACCTTGAGAGATTGACGGTTCGACCATGATTAATAACATAATTAACTTTTTAATATTATTATTTATTTAATGTTTTCGGCCCAAATATTTTCATGATCGAGCTGACAAAATCCATAACATGAACTAATATATAACCAACATATGATTCATATGAAAACTACTTAAATGACTAACAAAACCACTAGAAAAAAGAATCTACCAAACTTTATTCAGGCTATTATTGCGTTAAATTCAATAAAAAAATAAGTATATTCAGGATGAAATCACTCCACGCATGTATTAGACCTTACAATCACATGATAAGTCGTAGACTTTACATAACATGATATATATCAAAGAGTGTTTGCATCACTCAAAAGATAACTTTCCCTAACTTCCCAATACATAATCAACACTTGGTTCTTTACCACATGCTTCTGCCCAAAGTGGAAAGCCGATCGAGTTCATAATCCAATTATGCAAACCATGACATCAACGTTACGTAAACCATGACTGCGAATGCATTAGACCTTACATAGCACAATATTTTCTATAATATAAAAACAAGTCACTCTTGCTAAGAGATAATTATTCTTTCTTTTTCAGAATAATACATCAACCATTAGGTTGGATTGAGATATAACGAGAAACGTCAGGCTAGAAATCAAAATCGTAATGGACTCATCTTTCTCCTCCATGTGCTATATAGCAAAAGCACATCAAGAACTAATTACATCTGCTTTTGTCGTTTACCGCCTCTCTCATTTATTTGATGCTGAGCGTTTAATGTGTGAAGTGTGAACTAGGATCTACAGGTAACATAAAAGATGGTCTCTGTCTTTGTCATGTAATAAGAGAGTGAATAATATTTTTAAAATAAATAATTCAAACGTGAGTACAGCCATGAAACTCTTTTCGAATTATGTATTTTCTTGTTTGTAATAATTATAAAGTTTAAACTCAGAAAAAGCTTATTCTTTTTCTACAAAGATCGATTCTTTTTATTATTACACTTACGTGTTTGGCTTTAAAGTTTGTTCTCTATCTCTCACTCCCAAAGATCTGTTTCTTTTCTTTTTGCTTTCACTCTTCTCTTCAAGTGAGAGAGTGAGAAAATGGAGAAGAAGCTTTTGTTGTTGGTAGTGTTTATTGTAGTGCTAGGAACTCAAGCAAATGAGTATTTAGAATTCAATGTGACAGAAATAGATCGCATTGAGGAACTAGAGTTTGGATTCTCCAAGTACAGCTCAAATTTGAACCCTTTATTAGTTGGTCTCACTCTTATCAGAGGAGCTGATTCTGGAGCTGGTACTTCTGTCATTAGATCTCTCTCTTTATTTACTTTTATGAGTTTTACAAAAGTTGCTTCTTAATTTATTCACTTCAACTAACATTCTTCTCAGCTTGTTTCTCTGCTGTTAGATTTAACTTTGTCTTTACGTTTTACTGTTATGTATTCTTCACGGTTCCTCTAATTGTTTGTCCTGTTTTATTGCTTAGAAAATGTAATTTATAGGTTTATGTTTTTCAATTTAGAACTTAGAAGCAGTGTATATGTTATGTTGTGATGATGTAACACTAGAAAAAAAATCGAATAGTAATTTAATCTAGATCTTTTTTTTTTACTTGGTTGTATTTTTATCACAGTTTGTTTGGATGGAACATTGCCTGGATATCACTTGCACCGTGGACATGGATCTGGAGCTAACAGCTGGCTCATTCAATTAGAGGTTTAATGAATGTTTTTTTTTTTTGTCTATGAAAGCTACTGTTGTGCAATAACTTCAAGGCATGAAAAAATGTTGAACAGGGAGGAGGATGGTGCAACAACGTCAGGACTTGTGTATACAGGAAGAAGACTCGACGTGGATCATCTAACTATATGGAGAAGCAGCTTCAGTTTACAGGAATATTGAGTGATAAAGCTCAAGAGAATCCTGGTTTAGTCTCAAATCTTTGTTCATGTTATGTGACCATGTAATATAATTTTGAGGATTTATGGATCCTCTATTGTCTTTCTTTTGCAGACTTCTTTAACTGGAATAGAGTTAAGCTTCGTTACTGTGATGGCGCTTCTTTCAGTGGAGATGGTCAGAATCAGGTTCGCATCAATAGAGTACTATTGAGTTAACATCTGTGAACTCATGCATATATATAATAACTCTTTACCTTGAAAAACTCTTTTTGCTCAGGCTGCACAGCTTCAGTTTAGAGGAGAACGTATCTGGAGAGCCGCCATAGCTGATTTGAAAGCGAAAGGAATGCGATACGCCAACCAGGTATTGACACTTAACCTTCTCAAGATCCAAGGCAAGAGCTGTTTTTATTTCTCAATTGTTTATATTCTGTTTAAGGCACTGCTCTCTGGATGTTCTGCTGGTGGTTTAGCAGCTATTTTACGCTGTGATGAGTTTAGGAACTTGTTCCCTGGATCCACCAAGGTCAAGTGCTTGAGTGATGCTGGCTTGTTCTTGGACACGTTGGTTTATTTCCCCTCTCAACTCAAACGCTGTTTCTTTGTTCTTGATTTAATAAACTGTTATTGACTAGTTTGTTTCTGGTAACTATAGAGCTGATGTTGCTGGTGGCCGCACAATCAGGAACTTATACAATGGTGTAGTAGAGTTTCAGGTGAGATTCAACTTCTTTTATTTTACATTTTTAAGAGCATAAGTGACAAGTTCTTGGACTTAACCATATGTAGAGTGTGAAGAACAACCTGCCTCGTATGTGCACAAACCATCTTGATCCAACCTCGGTAATCTTTTTCATTTCTCTCTCATCTTGATGCTGTTGCAAACCAGAAGCTGACCATTAGAAGTCTTGTATTGTTCTGTACAGTGTTTCTTCCCACAAAATCTGATAAGTCAGATGAAAACACCACTTTTTATTGTCAATGCAGCATATGATACATGGCAGGTAATGTTCTTTTTCTCCTCTTTTTGACATTGCTTAACTTATTGTGCTTTTGTGCTTTGGTGGTTAGGCTCACTCACACAAAAAGCCTTTTATAATCAGATTCAAAGCAGCATAGCTCCAACATCAGCTGACCCTAGGGGCTTTTGGCATGACTGTAGACTAAACCATGAAAAATGTACACCTTCACAAATGAGATTCTTGCAAAAATTCAGGGATCAGATGCTGAGAGTAGTCAAGGGCTTCTCAATGTCTAGACATAATGGTCTGTTCATAAACTCCTGCTTTGCTCACTGTCAAACCGAGAGGCAAGATACTTGGTTTGCAGATGATTCTCCTGTCATCAGGAAAAAGGTAAAATCTCAATACCTTTTCCCAACACAAACAAAAAGCAAAGACTGTTCTTGACTTTTGTATAATGTCATCATGTAGGCCGTGGCAATAGCCGTGGGAGATTGGTATTTTGATAGAGCAGAAGTGAAGTTAGTTGATTGTCCTTACCCTTGTGACAAGAGCTGCCACAACTTGGTGTTCAGATGATTTATCTTCTTGATTCTTCTTTAATATACAAGAACCTTAGAAAGCTTAGCTTCTCTCAAATGGAGAAGAAGCCTTGTATCCTTACTATTTACCAATGCCTCATTGGAAGAAGTGTATGATTGATAAAACTCCTAAAAAAAACAAAGTTGGCTCATAAGAGTTCAAATGTAATCACAGAGTAATGATTCTTCTTCCTTTGTTTTTTTCCTCTCTACTTGCCACTGCAAGTAGTTGATCAATGTTTCTAAATGTCAACATTTTGGTCCCACAAAGAATTTGATTTCACAAGTATCCAAGAAATGCAGGTAATGGATAAGAATAAAACAATAAAATAGTAAAAAAAGGGATAAAAGAAGAAGTGAAAAGAGGAGTAGAGAGAATATTAACAGAGTGTGTTGATGATATAACTTTGACACCCTGGTATTAGGGTGAGTGACAGCTATCTAGTGTTCCCCACTTTGTATGTGTTTTAGTGGGTTTCTTTCTTTTTCCACCTAATCATTTCCTTTTTAAGTTCTCTCAGTCAAACTAACTTCTTCAACAACTCTCTGCATATAATCCATCTGAATTCTTCTGAAGTTGAACCCTGTCCATTACTTTTTTTTGGTTCTTGAATCTTTCTTTCATGGCTTCTGATTCTCAGACTGCAACTGCAACTACATCTGAAAAGGTAAAACTTGCTAGGTCATATATTCTCATCTTCCATAGAATCTTTTATTAGTATTTATGCTTTTATGCTCCATGGATAGATTTTCCTGCATCAGGTTTTGGTCTAGTAAGATCAATATACTATCACTGTGGCAGAGTTGAATATACTTATGCTCACACAGAAGAATATATAATTTTTGTACCTGAAACTAGGAACGTTAGGTTAGATTCAAGGAGATAAAAACTTGTTTTGAAATGTTAAACATGGTTTTTAACCCTCTTATACTGAATCTGGAGAATTCTTGAGCAATAATTAGAAGGAACTTTTTTTAAAAGTTGTATATTATAGCACATGGAGTGTTGAAAGAAAAACCACCTTTGTCTGTCGTTTTTCTAGAAAACTATTCTGAAACTGTTACATATGATTACAATTCCACAACAGAAGATGTAACAGTTAGTGGTTTTTCTAGTTAAGAAGAGAATAATAAAAGAGGGTTTTTACTTTTACCTGATGCAGTCACTGGAGAACAAGGTGGAGGCTAAGTTGATGGAAAAAGAGATTGTATTGCCAGAGACTACTGATGTGGTGGAAGATAAACCGGTTTCAGATTCAAACCTGACTGTTACAAAGGAGGAGAACATTAATCAAACTCCTGGTGGTGAGCCTGAGAAAGAACCACATGTGGAGGAGGTTGCAGTAGTTGTGAAAGCAGAGGAATCTACAGAGAAGGGGACAGATGAAAATGGTGAGGAGAAGGTAGCTGAACAAGTGGAGCTAAAAGAACCAACCCTTGTGAAAGAGAGTGTTGAAGAAGTTAATGTTGAGGCTGCTGATGCAGAGAAAGCAGAAGAGGAAGGAAGAGATGAAAATGGTGAGGAGAAGGTAGCTGAACAAGTGGAACCTAAAGAATCAACTCCTGTGAAGCAGAGTGTTGAAGTTAATGTTGAAGCTGTTGATGCAGAGAAAGCAGAAGAGGAAGGAAGAGATGAAAATGGTGAGAAGAAGGTAGCTGAACAAGTAGAACCTAAAGAACCAACCCTTGTGAAAGAGAGTGTTGAAGCTTCTGATGCAGAGAAAGAAGAAGGGAAAGGAAAAGATGAAAGTGGTGAGGAGAAGGTAACTGAAGAAGTGGCGCTTAAAGAATCAACTCCTGTGAAAGAGGGTGTTGAAGAAGGTAAGGTTGAAGTTGCTGATGCAGAGAAAGCAGAAGAGAAGGGAACCGTGGAAAGTGTCTCTAAAGAAGACAACAAAGATAAGGAGGAGACCAAGGTGGTTGACATAAGTGAGTCAACAGAAGGCAAACAGGTGGGACAAGTTGATGTTCAACTTGTTAAAGAAGTACCTGAAGAGCCTGTAGAAGACAAGATCAAAGATGTTAAGGTTCTTGAAGTGGAGCCAAAGATAGAGGCTTCTGAAAAAGTTGAGACTCAGCCTGAGAAAGCAAATGAATTGGCAACAGATATTGAAGTAGTGAAAACAGAGGAAACAACAGAACAAGCTAAGGTTGAGCTTGAGGGAAAGCTGGAGGATACCATTGTTGTTGAGACCAAAGACTCCACTATCAACTCCAAGGATGAACAGACTTCTGAATCTGGTTCTATTGTAAACCAAGAGCCAGACAATGCCCCCGCAAAAGAGACTGAAGGAGACGCTTCTTCTCCTGCTGATGCCATTGAGAAAGCCATCACCGAAGAGAAGCATGTAGTGGACGAGCCATCAAAGGATGAGCAAGAGAATGTCACTAAATCAACTGCAGAAGTAGAAGAAAACATTAAGAAGGACACTGAAACACCTGCTGCAGATGTCAAGAGTGAAGAGACTTTGAAAGAAACTGAAGGAACCAAACAAGAAGCAAAAGCTGTAGAAACAGAACCTGTTGTTAAAGAGATTGAAGAGCCGAAACAAGAAGCAGAAGTCACAACCAAAGAAGTTGTTAAGCAAAAGAATACAAACAGCATCATGTCAAAGGTGAAGAAGTCTCTTGTTAAGGCAAAGAAAGCAATCATTGGAAAATCTCCAAGCTCTAAGACCATCACAACTCAAGAAGCAAAAGAAGAGATCAAAGCCAAGTGATAAAAGAAAAGAGTCATGGATTCTTTAAAGTCTTTCAAGGTATTTTAAATTTATTTTGTTGGTTTTGTTTATTGTGTTGGGAGAAAAAAGAACATTCTTTTTATTTTGTGTTTATGGCTTTGTGTGGTTATAAACTTATGTCTGTAAAACCTACAAAGATTTGGCTTTGTGTTATGGATGTGTGTTTGAGAAATTGTATTCCATCATTCATTAACATTTTTACGTTCCGTTATCATCGTAAAGGCTAGACACCCGTTTAAACGAACTTTTTAAAATGGGTCGTAATGGGCTCATATTGATTCCTAATCAAGATTCAATAAAACATCGTAAAAAGGAGATCCGAAGGCTCTAAATCGGCAGAATTTTTGTTTTCTCTTTTATAATTAACTAGGTGATTTTCCCGTGCTCATGCACGGGTAACAATATTTATCAAGTAAATATATTGTGGTAATATATTATGGTATATTCTAATTTATTAATTTAGATAGATGTTTACTTTTAATATAAATTAGTTTATATTTTTAATGTATAACTTATATTATATTATTTTAATTAGACATACAATTTGGGATATGTTATATTTAATCGGTTTAGTTGTTTTTTTGGTCAATAGTCGATTTTACACTTGTGTATTTTAGATTGCATTTATTTTTCTGAATTTAACTATAATATTTTTATTCTAAATATACTAAAACTTTGATTATTATTGCATTTGGATTGGTTATCATCTTATATATGTAAATATATTTTATTAAGATTAGGTATAATTATATATATATGTATATATCATGCTTATAATGAAATTAAAAATAAACTAAAATTTTGATTCAAAATTACATAAATGAATATAACGATAATATTCTGAAGTCTCATTCATAAAAATAAATTTTACAAAAAAAAAAACTGAATTATAACAGTTGGTTAATAATTTATTTTTACATATTGATATTTTTGAGTCATCCTGTAATCTATATGTATAAAAATAAATAAATAAATATTCTAAAATTATATGTTCTTGTTGTAGTTAGATCTTTTATTTTGGATATAAGTTAGATTCTTTCTGTTACTCGTTTTATGAGTATATTGAGTTATATATATTTTCTAATTCAAATGAAAATATAATTATTTTTGTTCTAATTAAATCAAATAAAAATTAGTATTATTGATCGTTTAATGCAGGTATTTTTATATTATTTTTAATAATTGGATATATGTTGATTTTTAAGAAATATTAAAAATAAATTGACGATTAATAAGAATTTACATACTTAAATATGAGTATAAAGATAAACTTTTGAAATTTCATGAGCACATAGTAATATTTACAATAATTAAATATTTATCAATTTTAAATTATTTTATGTCTTAGGTCTCTTAAAAGGTAATCTGAAACGTATTTTAAACAATTTTAAAAATGAGAACTTAGATTTACTTGAGTATTTTGATTATTTATATATTAAGTTCCACAAACATAAAAAAAAACATAAAATTAAAAAGCAAACTAAATATTAAAAAGAAGTTTTAATAATGATAAAATATTATATTTCCATCTCATTAATATTGTATAGTGCTATGCTATTTAAAAGGATTTTGAAATTATTTGATCAAAATATTTATTTTTGTTCAAAAATATTTTTATTTTCCTTTTTATTATCTCAATAAACACTAAACATGTTATTTTAGGAAAATTTCAAAAACAATTATTAAATTTCGTTTATATTCATAAATATTTCCTTTTTTATTTATGTGTTTTAAAAAAGTAATCTTATATCAAAAAATTAAGTAAAATATTATTATAAAAAAAAGTAAATACATTATTAATATCAATTCGTAAAAATTATTAAATTTCGTCTATATATAAAGATTTATATTTCCTAACTATTTCCTTTTTTATTTATGTGTTTTTAAAAAGTAAAATTATATTAAAAAATTAAGTAAAATCTTATTATGAAAAAAGGAAATACAATTATTAATATCAATTTTATTTAAAAGTTTTAGTTCATTAAGGGTATCTATGTAATCAACCATCGTGAGAGTTAACGTGAGCGCGACACGTAAGAAAGTGACTTCTCAAATAATATTATAGAGATTACACTAGATAAGGAACATACGATTCACATAGAAACTCATTTTATAAAAATAAATATACCATACTATATAACTTATATTTTTTATAGGAATATTGTTTATTTTGTTTTCAACGAAATCTATGTAATATGCGTATAATGTATATTACATGGGTTTATATTATTTATAGATGTTACTAAACTTTTATATTGGTTTTACAATTTCAAATTGTAATAAAATTCATGTCAATATTAATTTAAATATATATATATATATATATATATATCTTATTATTACGTTGTAAGTTATTTAAAATTATAAATACAGTTTAATATATTTAAAATTAATTAAAAGAATCAAACACATAAATCTAACCGTTTACTAAATTAATAAGATAAATTATAATGATGAGTATGATGTTCTTAATTTATTTGAAACCATATAAAAATATATGTATAGTCGAAATATGATTACTTCATCTTAGGATACATTAGTATAAAATTTTAATGTGGTTAGATATTTTAAGCGACTAAGAAGGTTAAACTTTATTACAAATAACATTTATCGGAAAATTCAATTTTTTCGTACGGTTAACCCATAGATTTAAAAAAAAAAACTAGAAAATATGGAATTTTTTTATTTATCATATATGAGTCCAACACTAATGTAGGATGAATATTAAAGGGTTTTTATATCTTAGTAATCCTAATTTCTCTAGAATATAGAGATTTCATAGGGTTTAGGTGTTTTATTTATGTGGTATATGAAGTTTTATTAAATTACTCACTGGAAAGTTATAACTGATGCCCAGGTACCACGGAATAAAATTTAGGAAACATTAGAATAAATGTTTAATGTGGCTAGATATTTTAAGTAACACTAAAGAGGTTAAATTTTATTACAAATAACAATTATCAGAAAATTCGATTTTTCGTAGGGATTAACCCACATATTTCAAAAAAAAAAAAATAGAAAATAAGGAATTTTTTAATTTTTCATATATGCATCCATCACTGATGTAGGATGAATATTAAAGGATTTTTACCTTAGTTGTCCTAATTTCTCTATAATATAGAGATTTCATAGGGTTGAGATCTTTTATTTATGTGGTATATGAAGTTTTACTAAATTACTCATTGGAAAATTATAACTGATGTCCAGGTACCACGAAATAAAATTTAGGACAAAATAGTATAAATTTTTAATGTGGTTATATATTTTAAGCAACACTAAAGAGGTTAAACTTTATTACAAATAACAATTATCGGAAAATTCGATTTTTTGTAGGGATTAACCCACAAATTTCAACAAAAAATTAGAAAATATGAATTTTTTTTTATTTTTCATATATGCATATAACACTGATGTATGATGTATATTAAAGGGTTTTTATACCTTAGTTATCCTAATTCTCTATAATATAGAGATTTCATAGGATTTAAATCTTTTATTTATGTGGTATATGAAGTTTTATTAAATTACTCATTGGAAAATTGTAACTGATGTTCAGGTACCACGAAATAAAATTTAGGATACATTAGTATAAATGTTTAATGCGGTTAGATATTTTAAGCAACACTAAAGAGGTTAAAATTCATTACAAATAACATTTATCGGAAAATTTGATTTTTTCGTAGGGGGTTATTAGCCCATAGATTCCAAAAAAAACTAGAAAATATGGAATTTTTTTATTTTTCATATATTCGTTTGCCAGTGATGTATGATGAATATTAAAGGGGTTTTATACCTTAGTTATCCTAATTTCTCTAGAATATAGAGATTTCATAGGGTTTAGGTCTTTTATTTATATAGTATATGAAATATTTTTAAATTACTCATTTGAAAATTATAACAGAGGCCCAGGTCCCACGAAAATAAATTTAGGATACATTAGTATAAATTTTTAATGTGGTTAGATATTTTAAGCAACATTAAAAGAGGTTAAACTTTACTACAAATAACAATTATCGGAAAATTCAATTTTTCGTAGGGATTAACCCAAAGATTTAAAAACAAAATTAGAAAATATAATTTTTTTTTATTTTTCATATATCCGTCCAAAACTGATGTAAGATGAATATTAAAGGGGTTTTATACCTTACTTATCCTAACTTCTCTATGATATAGAGATTTAATAGGGTTAGGTCTTTTATTTATGTGGTATATGAAGTTTTATTGAATTACTCATTAGAAAATTATAACTGATATCCAGGTACCACGAAATAAAATTTAGGATACATTAGTATAAATATTTAATGTGTTTATATATTTTAAGCGACACTAAAGATGTTAAACTTTATTACAAATAACATTTATCGGAAAATTCAATTTTTTTGCAGAGGTTAACCCACAGATTTCAAATTTTTTTTAAAAAATATGGATTTTTTTATTTTTTGATATATACATCCAACACTGATGTAGGAAGATTATTAAAGGGGTTTTATACCTTATTTATAATTATTTCTCTATAATACAGAGATTTCATAGGGTTTAGATCTTTTATTTATGTGGTATATAAATTTTTATTAAATTACTCATTGGGAAATTGTAACTGATGTCCAGGTACCACGAAAAAAAATTTGGGAAACATTAGTATAAATGTTTGATATGGTTAGATATTTTAAGCAACACTAAAGAGGTTAAACTTTATTACAAATAACAATTATCGGAAAATTCAATTTTTTCGTAGGGAATTAACCCACATAATTTAAAAAAAGAAGAAAATATGGTATTTTAATTTTTCATATATGCATCCAACACTGATGTAGAATGAATATTAAAGGGGTTTTATACCTTAGTTATCCTAATTTCTCTGTGGTATAGATATTTCATAGGGCTTAGGTCTTTTATTTATGTGATATTTGAAGTTTTATTAAATTACTCATTGGAAAATTATAACTGATATCCACGTACCACGAAATAAATTTTAAGATACATTAGTATAAATGTTTAATGTGGTTAGATATTTTAAGCGACACTAAAGAGGTAATATTTATTAAAAATAACATTTATTAGAAAATTCGATTTTTTCGTAGAGACCCATAGATTTTTTTTAAAAAACTAGAAAATATGGAATTTTTTTATTTATCATATATGAGTCCAACACTAATGTAGGATGAATATTAAAGGGTTTTTATACCTTAGTAATCCTAATTTCTCTA